TAATGGTAATGGTAATGCTAATGCTAATGCTAATGCTAATGCTAATGCTAATGCTAATGCTAATGCTAATGCTAATGACGTCAAACAGGCTTACCTTACACAACACGTGCCAGCAGGATCCTTACAGTCGTCATGACGATCACAGAATGTTCCAGGCGAACCCTCCTGAGCATCCTTCTTACATCTTCCATAAGTACACTGACCTGCACAACACTGACCGTTCTGGGTGCAAGCCACATTTTCCTTCAAGCAGTGTACACAAAGAAACATGTGACAGTATTTACCTTGAAATCATAGTAGAAGAAAAGGTTCGTTTAGCTGCAATTTGTTGGCTGACGTTAATGGAAAATTTTTTTAAATACAAAAACGACTGAAAAGATTTATAAACAGGGCCTACGGAACTGTTTTGTTGTCTATATTATGGAAAGGGACTGAAAATATGGCAACTACTTTTTAAAATATCTATATCTTAACATATAATGTCAATAWATTATTAAACTCGTTACCTTTATCGCAGGGCTTATGTGCATTGCATTCTTGTGAGTAGTAGCCTGGTAAAAGCATTCTCGCACGAGGCTTCTCGTCACCACCTACCACCGATGACATATCAGAGTCAAATGGACTGGAGGGAGTAAGCGCCTACAAATTGGCAGTAAAAAATAAAAAATTAAAATTAAAAAAAATAAAAAATGGAAATACGGTTCGTTGATTCAATGTAATATGTGTATATTTTCAACATAATATGATCATATCATTGTCTATAATAGCCTTTCTCTCTCTCTGCTTCTCTCCCGATTCTTCTTCTCCAGSGTACGGTAAGGACGTTAATGGGCAAAAGATTCCATCGTCGAAAAATTACTACGATTGTATGATGAACGTATCGCGCTAATCACGTAAACATGGAATGCTGTCATAAATAATCCATATTTTACTGAAAAAAATAAATTGATGGTCCCCATTTTTCACTGAACTCTAGCTAAGAGTTTGGACTTGAAACCTTCGCGTTACGTGAAATTCAATTCCATTTATGCACAAAATAGGTTAGTTTTTTCATCCCATCGTCAGATTTTTTATATTTTGCCTCTAAAATTAGGTATTATAAAGTACTTGGTTTTAGAGTTATAAGATATTAGTTATAAGGTTTTTATGTCGAAGCTTTCTGTAARTTTATTTAGACTAAAGTTTAACCAACGTCCAGGCCTTGCATCGCGACGCACTAGTTTGCGAAAGAGAAGACAGGATACATTGGTATTKGAATAATTTGGCCACGCTAGTGGCAAGTTTAATAATCAATAAACATATATAATCGTACAAAATACCAAAACCCCAAAGAAGCGATATATTCGGCAAAGGTGGGGCGAGAATAAACACGCCGCCAAATCTAGAATAACTAAATACGATAATCCAACCGGTAGGCCGCAGGGGTGGTGGTGGGATGATTTTAAGTGAACTTCCTCGACTGCGAGAATAATAGGAAAGAGGCCGTGTGGTACTTAGACGCCCCTTAAAGTGCCCCATACCTGATTACAGACCAATTTAGAACAAATACTCACATTGTCATAAACGCGTTTTTCAAATATTTTTTTTTCGTTTCAAACGAATTCCTGATTTTTTTACGGCACGAAATGGCAAAATTCTCATGTCCACTCACTCTCGAAATTTTAGTAACGCGTTCGAGGAGCCTGAAAAATTGTATAGACTTACTTCATCGGGGTGATACACCAATTTTTTTGTGAGTCAAAAGTGCTGTTTTTAAAAGTTTTAAGAAACAAAAAATGCCAAAATATTGAGCTTTTACTTATTGTACGAGTGAATCCAACTTGGAAGAATGCGCAAGTCTTTCACTTTTGGAACGTATCACCCCGATGACGTAATCGCACCAGTCCCCCTTACGCGCTGTCCTTATATGAAAAGGTGCGTTTTRAAAACTCATTTAAGAATCAGGAATGCATCCAATTTCAAACAAATTTGGATTTTCGCATTTTTTGTGCTGGGCCTATGGGCACAGTACATTTGTTTTTGGTGGCTTAGGTATGATGGGAATTTAGTGTTATGAACATGAGACCTATATCGAAGATGCCATTGGTGAAACACGAGGTGAAAATGCATGCATGTCGAGATCTCTCAGATCGGGACACGGAAGAGTTGAAAGRGGTTGAACATATRTGGTTTTCGTGGTAAGAKTGCCTTAATCCAACTTACTCTAAACTTAATTTGGTAGTATTCTAAGCAGATAATTAGAAACTGGAGCTAAATTAGAAACTTAAAGTGCGATTTTTGTTTTTTGGTACAACTCGAATTAGTTACGTAAACAAAAGATTATAAATGGACAGGCCAGGAATTTCTACTGCGTCATTGATGTAAAATAGTACTCGCACGAGTTTTATATTATTTCATTAGCTAGAAAAATGATATTTGGTTTGATTAGCAAAACATATTTATTTCTAGTCAAATATTTTTATGAAAAAACGTATTTCATGCCGAATGCTTGAATGGAGGCGGGCCAGGAATTTCTACTGCGTCATTGATCTAAAAWAGTACTCGCACGAGTTATATGTTATTRTATCAACTRAAGTAATGATTTTTGTTTTGGTTAGCTAAACGTATCTATTTCTAGTCGAAKATTTTTATGAAAAAGGGGCTTTCATGCCGAAACCTTCAATGAGTGGGTGGACGAGGAATTTACTGCGTCATAATTTGCATGAAAGAGTACTTGCACGAGTTTTATATTAGTTTATTTATAGATCCTTTCACGGTTTCCGGGGCCATATTGTTTGGGGGGGGGGGGGGGGGGGTCAAAATTTACTGAGAAGCGTAGGGAAAGAGATACGTTTTTCGCAATATTTCCATTCTGAGGTTACCCTGCGAGCAGAGTCTCCTTTACTTTCCCCCGAGAGAGAAAAAGGAAAGAGTCTTCTTTCCTTTCTCTCACTCGGGGGAAGGTAAATTTTCGAGACCAAACTTTTTCTGTAGATGGAGAATCCTCTGTTCAATGTTTTATGTGGTGTTTTTGAGCCGATGGAGCCACCATAACACTGGTTCTCAGRGAGATGGAGGCTTGCTTTGGGGTTTGCGACCAAGAATCGTTTATGCTGCTTCAATTTGACCGTAAAAAAATCTTGCCTCGACGAAAAACATATCTCTTCTATCAGCATAACAAAATATTTTATCTAAGTCAAACCGAATCCATGGACTTTCTTCTGTCTTACAATGACTAAATCCCAAATACTGTATTCAAAGTATCCAATGTGCCCAGCACATTTGACACGTTTTCCCGTGTCAAAACTTGTTATGAATATATCTTCAACTTGCATAAGGTCTGTGATTAGGCATTAGGGGCACTTTAAGTACTATACTGCTACGTAACAGTATTCATGCATCCTGTTGGTCGATCTGGGATATACGGATTCATCTAGTTGGATTACCGGGTTTAACAACAGTTTAATGTTTCGACATCAATGTTCTGTGGGTTTTTTTTTTCAATATAATTCAATCTAAACCATATAATACAGTCCGTGAATAGTTGAATTAACTGAATCCACTTCTGTTTTTTGCCTAGATAGTCATTATTTTAAGAAAAGATCCMAAAACCGTGTTTTTGAGACAATTTGTATGGGCTCACATGAGGGGGCGTGAGCTTGAAATCGTAGCTGACCAAATGTTAACAGATTTTTTCTGATGCTATGAACAAAACTATATAAATAAGCATGCGGTTTCAATCGGGGAATTATATGCCTATGACAAAATAAGCAATGCAAATCTCATCCTTTGTTTGACTCTTCGACCTTTATTTGCTTTCATTTYTTAAAACCTCTACATTCGTAAACCCACAAAACTTTGCGGCTTAGGAGGGGGACGGAGAAGTAAG